CCTGGCCAAAATCACGGCCCACAACATACTCCGATTCTATAAAGGAAACATCCTCGCAAGATTCGGGGTCCCACTCGCCATCGTCACCGACAACGGCACACAATTCACGGACAAAAACTTCCGCGACTTTGTCACCAAACTCGGAACCAAACATCACTTCACCTCGGTCGAGCATCCTCAGACAAACGGCCAGGCAGAATCCGCGAACAGGGTCATCCTCAGGGGACTCAAACGACGACTCGGTGACGCAAAGCGAACATGGGTCGAGGAGCTCCACAGCGTCCTCTGGGCATACCGCACCACTCCCCACTCAACCACGGGGGCAACCCCATTCCGCCTCACGTATGGAACCGAAGTCGTGATACCGGTCGAAATACGCGAACCATCCAGACGAACTGAAGTTCCCCTCGACACCGACGACAACGACGGCGCCCTGCGTTAAGAGCTCGACCTCGTCGAGGAGATTCGCTTAGGAGCAGCCCTCCGGGAAGCCCGACTGAAACAGCAAGTAGCACTTTGCCACGACAACAAAGTCCTAAAATGCGACTTCCAAAACGGCGACTTAGTTCTGCGCAGAAACCAGAAAGACTCACACGAGGGCAAACTGGCTGCGAATTGGGAAGGCCCCTACCGTGTCCGCGGCAAGACGGAGCACGGGGCCTATTACCTCGAAAATCTGCACGGGGAACAACTAGCTCGACCATGGAACGCCGCGAAACTTAAGCGGTACTACAGTTAAACACTGCCCGCGACGACCTTTCGTCACGACCACTGGGGGGGGCGACATGGTACCACCGCACCCCTCGCGTCTACCAACGACCAGCAAAAGCAAGCCCTGCCTCTTGTGTGCGCGAGCAGAAGGCCTTGCTCGGCGGGGAATACCTCGATCGAGGCTCCCCACCGTCGTACCAAAACCGGTAAGACTCCCAGCTCGCGATGGGACGTCCACGCCACAGGGAGAACTACCCCCGAATCGGTCAGGCAACAACGCCGGCCAAACCGGCCAGTTCCCATCACCGCCGGTAACAAATCGCCGAGCTATTACCCCGGACAGACCCAAAGGCATCCTAACACGCATATCAAACATATAACTCAAGCATACAAATATGTGCAAAAATAAGACGAGCATAAACATCATGCAAAAACCGAGCGCACACTTAGAAAATTCTCAAAAGATATATTAAGCAAAAGCGGGCATCAACCCAGTAGTCAACATTACATGAATAGAGGAACGCAGACCCAACAAAAAAAACAAGTTACAAAACATCGGCACGCAGGCCAGTAAACTACGAGCACGCAGGCCCGAGAAACCTATACATCCTCGCCCTCCTGCTCAGCACCCACAGGGTCAGCATCAGAAACGACAAGCTCGGGGTCAACCACCTTCCCGTCGACAATCTCATGATACGACCCAATCCCTTCCATGACCAATGCAGCACCGGGGTTGACAATTTGGATCTGCACAACAACGCTCTTGAACCCGACCTCGACAGCGTCCAGGCAATCGCTCTTCAGCACCCGAATCCGGGCGACCAAATCAGCACGCATGATCATCCGCCGGTCTTCCTCAGTCTCGTCCTCGGCCGAATGAAGAGCGCTATCCAGAACTTCCATGCGAACTTTCAACGCCTGCACTTCGGCCGCCGCCGCCCCTAGCTTCTCCTCTACCGACGTCACCTTCTCCTCAGCACCTTCCGCCCGCTTGCGCTGGTCGGCAGCATCTTTCTGACTCTTTTCCAGCTCCTCGGTGAGGCCCCCCCGCAATTTGGCCAGCTCAGCAGCAGTGCAACCCTCCTCGTTCAGGACCAGAGCCGTTGTAAAAGTCCGCATCATCGCGGCCAAATCCTCCGCCAAGATGCGTCGACGAGACTCCCGATCAGCATCACAGACATCCTTCAATTTGCCAGCAGAGACAGTAGGAGACCGGGCCCCGTGAAAATAACCCAAATGTTGATGGCACGACGGAACGACATAGCCCTCCTCGGTTGAACCAGTCGTCAGGTCAATCAGGCCACTGGGCTCCTCGGACCTTGGCCTCTTCGCAGCTCCCTGAGACGTAGGAGACTGGCTCTCCTAGAGAGAAGAAGACGAACTCTGGCCTCCCGGCGTCACGGCTTCCTGCCCGACCAATTGGCTCACCCGCGTCTTCGGGACCGCGGCAGCCCTTGAGGCGCGCAGCTTCTTCACCCGCTCTTCGACGGAAGACATGTTCGCTGCAAAAGAAAAACAGAAAGAGTCAGCAACGGACAAAACATACGATCACGAGAAAGACGAAACATCCCTACCTAGGTACTCCAAAGCGTCCGCCCCTGAGGCACAACCGAGTAGGGTCCTCGTATTAATCAGCCTTTTCTTCATTCGCACGTTCCCCTGCGCGTCGAGGATATACCGACCGTCAGGCATTACCAGTTTCGACGGAGGAAGATCCCGCACAAAGGCCACTATTTTCATATAAGCGGCCATGTCCCTCTCGTCGAGAGTCCCAGCCCGCACTATATACCGATCAGTACCGCGATTGAAGTGCTCCGAGGTCCACAGTAAATGTACCCTGGGGAGCCACGCGAGGAACCGCTGGCCATCTACTATTCGCTCCCCCTCGGTAAAAAGAGTGTCTGAACCTTCCTGGGTGATCGGCCTCACGAGGAAGAACCGACCCTTGAAGTCTCGGACAGAGTCGCTGTACGTCTTAAAGAGCTTGGTCGGTTGCTTAAACGAGACCCATCCCTGACGACCATTCACCGATTGACGTTGCAGGTGGAAGATGCGAAAAAACAAGGGCACCGTGGCCTCCACATCGAGAAAGTGGCACACCACCTCGAACGCGCGGATAAAGGCCAGAGCGTTGGGATGCAGCTGGGACGGGGCCAAACGTAACCAGTCAAAAAGGCCCAAGTGGAAGGCGGAGAACGACAGTCTGAGCCGAGCCTCTTTAAAGTAGATCTCGTGCATGAGAAACATCCGCCGCCCATACCTCGAGTAGATACGATGATGCTCCTTCGGACGATACACCTGCCAGTTTTGCGGCTCCCCTTCCACCCGATCCTCCACGGTAGCGTAGGCGCCGGACACATCGGACGTGAAGCAAGAAGGGGTGGACAACGGCTCTTCGGCCACCCACTCCTCGACGGGGAGGACCCGCTCGTCGAAATCTGGGATCTCGGGATCACTGTCTTCGACCATCGTCCCTGGTATCAAGGCCGACATGTACACCTGAAAAGCAGAGGACAACGGTGAATTCGATAGCCAAGATCAAATCCACCCTTCTACCGCAGGTCAAGTGAAAGGGCGACGACGACGAGCGAGCGAGCAAAAGACGAGCGCGCGGGTGGTCCCCGAGGGACGCTCCCCGGGGCATTCAAAAGCTAACCTATCGCCCCTCCCCGGGGTACTCATCGGAAAAGGCACGCGTCCCCGGGGCCTTCATCGGAGAAAGCACCCGTCCCCGGGGCCTTCACCGGAACAACCGAACCTCCCGGGGCCTTCATCCAAACAAACCCAAAAGAAACCGCCAGACACGACGGATACTCGCGCCTCTCCTCGGGGCATTCATCGCGCCCCGACCACAGACTTAAATCAAACGGAGGAAATAAAAGAAGAGAAGAAGGAAACTCACTTGTGACGGCGGCGAACGGGGTGCAGAACTAACGGCGCGACGACGATTCACAACAACGGCGGACGGGGAGGAGTCACAGAGCTTCGCAGGTAAGAAAGCAGGGTGAAAAGTAAAAAAATGCGCGGGGGCCCCCGTATTTATAACCCGGCGCAGAACTCGAAGCGACACTAGGCCTTTGAGTGTCCTAGGGTAGCTGCCATACTACCCACTCAGCACGTGACACGTGGCGGTAACCTAACAATCGCGTCCCTTCATGTGCCTTTGCCCCGCTCTCCCGACGACAGGAAGACCTTCGCACGGGCACGCGTCCCGTCGGACCCAAGACCAACAAGTCACCCGCCTCGCTACCTCTTTTCCCGAAGCAACGACCTTAAGTCCTCGCTCTTTCGCCACAGAGCTTCGACTTGGGGGGCTCTTGTTCAGGTCTGGGCCCAGTCTCGCGGTCCAGCCCAATAACGCACAAGGCCCAATAAGCCGAACAGCTTGACCGGGCGCACACACCCCCATCGGTCGAGCAGGATACGCCCCCTGCCAAGCGGGACGGCGCACCTCGAAGCGTCCTCGGCGCTCCCCTTAGCCGGACCGAACAACTTCCCCGGGCCGAATCCCCTTGCCAACGGGCATGGCGATTCGTCTTCTCCGCTCTCGTGTGCCTTCCCCCCTCCCCCCCGGGGAGAGCCACACACCGCCCGGGAATCCCACGAGCTCACCTCCGCAGGAGAACAACGTGCCTTGTGCACGTGCTCCCCCCCTCCCCGCGGGGACACGTCACCAACCAACTGCCCACCTCCGAAAGAGCAGGTCAAACCCACTTTCCGGAGACCACGAGACAGTTGGACTAGGGCGAAGACCACGTCCTGGTCTTCACTACGCCACGTAAGCCCTAGCAGTCACCTGAGTTGAGTCTGGCCATCCAGCTCAACACAAGTGACCGTTGGCCCAGCGCTGGGGTCTCTCTATAAATACCTTCTTCCTCAAGAGGGTCATGTATTCACTTCTTACCCCATTTTCTGTACTTTGCTCACACTTTGTCCAATTCCTTACTTTGGCATCGGAGTGTCTTGCAGGTACACCCCCCTTCTCCACCTCCTCATCGGCGAACATGTAGCAGTCCATCAGAGTGTGGCCAGCCCGTGATCCCCTTCTGATCAGATCAGATATTATCATTTTTAAAATTGAATATAATATTAATTATTATTTATCAATACTAGTCACTATAACTCTTACTAGTAACAACACTTAATATAAAATAGATGGGTGGGGAATTAAAAGTTGAGTTTATGATGCCTCCAAGTTTACATCCACACTCTATCTAACCGATTTAAGAAACTCTTTCTGGAGTTGCTTTCCTGTTCCTTTTCTGTAACTTTCATTTCCATCGTCTAAAATGCACACCCTGCTTTCACAACCCCTCACACGCCCACCACAACCAAACCCACCAATTCCCACTTCTTTCACAAACCAAACAAAACCACCCAATTTGAACCTCCAATCCTCAAACATAATCCCGCAACTAACCCTTCTTAACAACCACCCACTTACTTCCACCACCACCTACGCTGTCATTCTCCAATCTTCCCCTCTCACTCTAGGAAAACAACTTCACTCCCACTCCATCAAAACTGGCTTCCACAACCACCATTTTGTTCAAACCAAGTTACTTCAAATGTATTCCACCAACTCATCTTTTGAAGATGCCTGCCACATGTTTGACACAATGCCGCTTAAAAACTTGCATTCTTGGACTGCACTTATACGCCTTCATCTTAACACGGGGTTGTTTCAAAAAGCTTTTATGCTTTTTAAGGAATTGTTATGTGATGGGTCGAGAGAAAAATTGGATTTTTTTGTGTTCCCTGTTGTGTTGAACATTTGTTGTGGTCTTGGTGATTTGGAACTAGGTAGGCAACTTCATGGGATGGTTTTGAAACTTGGGTTTGTTACTAATGTTTATGTGGGGAATGCTTTGATTGATATGTATGGTAAATGTGGGGGCTTAGGTGAGGCTAAGAAAGTTCTAGAAGGAATGTCGCAAAAGGATTGTGTCTCTTGGAATTCGATTATAACCGCGTGTGCCACCAATGGGATGGTGCATGAGGCGTTGGATCTCTTGCAAAACATGTCATTGAGTGAGTTGGAACCCAATGTTGTTACTTGGAGTGCGGTTGTTGGAGGATTTTCGAGTAATGGTTATGATGTTGAGTCAATTGAATTGTTTTCTAGAATGGTGGGAGTAGGGGTGGCACCAAATGCTCAGACGCTGGCGAGCATTCTACCTGCTTGTGCTAGGATGAAATGGCTTTGCTTTGGGAAAGAACTCCATGGCTACGTTGTTAGACATGATTTGTTCCGCAGTAGTTTTGTTGTGAATGCATTATTGGACATGTATAGAAGGTGTGGTGATATGAAAAATGCTTTTGAAATGTTTTCCAAGTTTGCGAGGAAAAGTGCAGCATCTTACAATACAATGATAGTTGGTTATTCAGAAAATGGTAATATCATAAAGGCAAAGGAATTATTTGATCGGATGGAGCGAGAAGGCATGGAGAGGGGTAGAATATCGTGGAATTGTATGATATCAGGTTATGTGGATAATCTCATGCTTGATGAAGCTCTGATGTTGTTTCGAGATTTATTGATGGAAGGAATTGAACCGGATTCCTTCACTCTTGGAAGTATCTTTACTGGATGTGCTGATACAGCTTCTGTTCGACAAGGGAAAGAGATACATTCCATTGCAATTGCCAAAGGTCTGCAGTCCAACAGCTTTGTCGGCGGAGCTTTGGTTGAAATGTACTGTAAATGCAATGACATTATAGCTGCTCAAATGGCATTTGATGAAATAAGTGAAAGAGATGCATCAACATGGAATGTGTTAATATCTGGCTATGCTCGGTCTAATCAAATTGAAAAAATTGAAGAACTTCTTGACAAAATGAAACGGGGTGGTTTTGAGCCTAATGTGTATACATGGAATAGTATTTTAGCCGGCCTTATGGAAAATAAACAATATGATTCAGCAATACGATTGTTCAATGAAATGCAGGTTTCAAATTTGAGGCCTGACATATACACAGCTGGAATAATCTTAGCAGCATGCTCCAAGTTGGCGACAATCCACCGAGGAAAGCAAGTCCATGCACATTCCATTAGAGCAGGGTACGACTCCGATGTTCACATCGGAACTGCCTTAATAGACATGTATGCAAAATGCGGGAGTATTAAACACTGCCATGAAGTTTATAGCAAGATATCAAACCCTAATTTGGTGTGCCACAATGCTATGCTCACCGCTTATGCCATGCATGGACACGGCTTAGAAGGAATTGCTATTTTTCGCAGAATGTTAGCTGACAAAGTTAGACCAGACCATGTAACTTTCCTATCAGTCATTTCTTCATGTGTTCACGCAGGATCAATCGAGATTGGTTATGAATGCTTTTATTTGATGAAAAAATACAACATCACACCCACATTAAAGCATTATACATGCATGATCGACCTCTTGAGTCGTGCAGGGAAGCTCGCCGAAGCATATCAACTTATCGAAAACCTGCCAATGGAAGTCGATTCAGTCACCTGGAGTGCTCTACTTGGAGGTTGTTTCATTCATAAGGAAGTATCCTTAGGTGAAATTGCAGCCGAAAAACTCATTGAATTGGAGCCGGATAACACCGGAAACTATGTTATGTTAGCAAACTTGTATGCTTCTGCAGGAAGATGGCATGATCTTGCTAAAACTAGAGAGTTAATGAATGATAAGAGAATGCAAAAGAGTCCAGGATGCAGTTGGATAGAAGATAGAGATGGGATCCATGTTTTTCTTGCTAGTGATAAAAGTCACCCAAAAATTAATGAAATATATCTTACGCTAGATAATTTGACTAAGTTCATTAGAATAAAACACACAAATGAATTATAACATGACCAAAGACTTGTACCATATTAACAGAAGTACTTTAAACTTTGTAAGAAAATATACATGTACATTTTTTACATAACTTTCTCACATATTTCTAAAGAAAATAACTAATTAAATATTATGATTAATTATAAACTACAGCTTTATGATTAATTACATGGATCTCGTTCACGGCCTGCAACTATTTTGAAATATTTATAACGTGGCGTGTTTAGTCAATTTTGCCCCTTCTCAACTGAACAATTACCTTATTAGTTCCTAATAATGTAAAAGGAAAAACTGCATTTTTTTAACCGAAAAAAAAAACTAAAATGCTTAGTAGTTTCTTCTATGCGTAATCATCACGAACGTGAGATTTTCTAGTTTCTTTCTCCAATTTCCATTTCATTCCTTTCTCCCTCTTTTGTCAGAAATAACTTGGAAGGTGAATGGAACGAGAGTAATGGCAGCAAACAAAAGGGCATTAGCGTAATTTCAATTGCTCATCCATGAGATGAGATGAACACATCCTCCCATTTGAATACCAACACCGACACAACTGCCATTCTCTCTGTTGCCGCCGGTGCGAAGACCGGCCGCAAAGGAAGATTCTCGCTTATGGCCGCCGCGCAAACGAACTCTACTCCGGCGGTTGTCTTCACGGCCCTCGCCGGCGTCGCTATTGTCGCTGTCATTTTCTACGGTGCCAGTAGGTAATTAAATCTAGAGAAGAGAAAATTAGATTAGAGATGTTCGAAAAACCCTAACAACACTATTTCAACTCAGTTTTTTATTGCTTTCTATTTATTCGAGCTAGATCTCTCTATTTTGTACTTATATCGCTTTGTTCTTGTTATTGTTTTTAGAAAAGGAAAATAATGTGATTCATGTGAATGATGAAGTAGTGGTTAAGATACGGTGATAATAGAAAATGGATCTTGCATTGTTGTTGACGAAGATTATCATTGGTTTCTTTATATTTTCAAATTGTAAAGTCCTTGGATTTGAAGTTCTATTAAGATCTTGATTGTTGGTTTTTGTTATTGTTGAGGTCCTTTAACTGTATCTCTAATTCAAATCAGTTGCTTGCCACGAAATTACCTCTCATTAGGATTTTATTTGTTGCTAGATGATGGTATACTTGATGATGATCCAGATTGATATCCAAAAACCCGTCGTTGCAGTGTTTCCTTTGAATCAAAGAAAACACTACAACAACAAATTTTTATATATTTTGAGCTTGAAAAGAAAGATCTGTGTTGGCATATCTTGTGAGCTTGTTTAATGTTCATTTGGGCACTTAAGAATGATATTTTCTGGGCCTAATTAAATTTATTGTATGTAAAAGGATGTGACAGTTATTACCATTTCGTCTGCAGACAAAAAAAGAGAGGCCGTGATGGTTAATGCTACGGAGCTGATGCATGCAGTACTTGTTTGAGGGGGAATTATTTAGTATTCTGGATTTTGTAAATAACTAAGAAATGCTGAGTTTTAGTACTAAACCTGTATTCTTTTCCTATTTATGTTAACATCCTTGTAATTGTTTTACTTGGAGAACATAGGTTCCTTCCTCTCTTGGTAAAACATAATTATACTAGTAAATAGCTGCTAATGTATCATATGTTGAGGTTAGTCTATCTTCTTTTGGGGGAAATACAGAGGTTTGTCCTTTGGGTGTGAAAATTCGCCACATGTAATTGGCAGAACACTTATCTATAAGTAGTTAGTTAGATAAATTGAAGCAGATAGCTCTAACACACGAAATTACTGTTTCATCACTAAGAAATTTAGATAGTTCTGTATGAAGCGTCTCTCTCAAAAATCACAAACTCTAACGAAATAAAATGTATTAAGGCCATAATAGGCTTGAAAAAGTAAAAAAATAAATCTGTGTATCACACAAGAAAACAGCTTAACAAAGTGCTTTTATTTACTCTTACTAATTGGTCAACTTAAATCACCATGATCATGCAGGAAAAGAAAACATGCCCTTTCACCTCAGCAATGGAAAATGTTGTTTACAGAAGATGGTAGACTGCGTGATGGTGGAATTAAGCTCCTGAAAAGAGTGCGCAGTGGAGTGAGTTTACCAATTCATTTACCTGTTTCATTCACCTGTAATTTAAAATTGTGTATCTTTCGTTTCTTTTTGGAATTTAATGCGTATAAATATCTGATGCAGGGTGTTGGTCCCAGAATAAGAGCTGAAGTCTGGCCATTCCTACTTGGAGTGTAAGCATGCCATTCTTTTTATTTCATTTCTAGATTCTAGATAATCTTCACTCTTGCATAATTGTAATGAATCTTATCTTAGTTATCTTTAAGTTAACATATAATCTTTGTGTTTTCCTCCATGTTAGGCATTAGGAAGGTTAAGGATTTCTTGTTCTTTATTTTTTATTGTTTGTGTTTTAACTTTTTCTTTTATACAGTTATTGATTACCCTTTTATGACTTAGACAGGTATAACTTTAACAGCACAAAGGGTGAAAGAGATGCTTTGAGAACTCAAAATAGGTTGATATACTAGTTTCATTCTCAATTTTTTTATATATCTATGTGCATGATCAGTACTTCAAATCTATATTCTGTTTACTTTTCCTTTGTCTTATTTATGTTGAGTGGGAGTGGGTGTTAACATCTGGTTGATTTTGTGGCAAATCTTTAAATGCAGAAAAGAATATGAAAAACTCCGTCGACAATGCAGGAAACTTGTAAAAGCAAGTAATGAAACCCGTAAGTTAAATGAAATTGGTGAAATTAGCTATGAAGGAGGTGATGGAAGTCTTGTTCAAGATTCTGGTTCTTCTAGTTCTGATGATGCAGCCAGTGCCAGGGAGTTTCTCTCTAGTCAGGACAGGAGTCCAGACGCTGAATCTTCGGATTATCCATTCATTGTCTCATTGGAAGGAGATGATTATGTTAATGTCAACAAGGCTGATGCATCTTTACTGGATTCAGATTTTTCCGAATCTCCTGAAGTAATTCAAACAGTTCCTCCGGATGATGATCAGGAAGATAACAACCCTATGAAAACTACCAAGGATTCCGCAGATGGTCCAGAAGTAATTCAAACAACTCCTCCCGATGATGTTCAGGAAGACAACAACCCCATGAAAACTACCACGGATTCAGCTGAAGGCCCTGAAGTAATTCAAACAGCTCCTCCTGGTGATGTTCAGGAAGACAACAACCCCATGAAAATCACCAAGGATTCAGCTGAAGGTCCTGAAGTAATTCAAACAGCTCCTCCTGATGATGTTCAGGAAGATAACAACCCTGTGAAAGCTACCAAAGAAGTCTCTTCTCTCTCGCAAGAAAAAGTTCCATTGAAGCCACCAACTAATGAAGACTTCTCCACCTGGCAACGGATTATCCGACTTGATGCATTACGTGCTAATGCAGACTGGATGTCACACTATCCCTCTCAAGCGGCCGTATCAGACAGTGTGGCACGTCGTACTGCTGAAGCTGTTGGCTTGGAGGATTATGGCCACCTAGAGGCAGGCAGGATCTTCCATGCTGCCCGACTAGTTGCTATTCTTGAAGCATATGCACTATATGACCCTGAAATTGGCTACTGCCAAGGTATGAGTGACCTGCTATCTCCTATAGTTAGTATTATATCAGAGGATCACGAGGCTTTCTGGTGTTTCGTTGGATTCATGAAGAAGGCACGGCAAAATTTTAGGCTGGATGAGGTGGGTATAAGGAGGCAACTAGAGTTAGTTGCCAAAATAATCAAGTATAAAGATGCCCATCTATTTAAGCATTTGGAGAAGCTTCAGGCTGAAGATTGCTTCTTTGTGTATAGGATGGTGGTGGTACTGTTTCGAAGGGAATTGACATTTGAACAGACTATTTGCCTTTGGGAAGTAATGTGGGCAGATCAAGCTGCAGTCAGGGCAGGTATTGGGATTTCTACATGGAACAAAGTTAGAAAGCGTGCACCACCGACCGATGATCTGTTGCTTTATGCAATAGCAGCTTCGGTATTGCAGAGGAGGAAGTTGATCATTGAAAAGTATAGCAGCATGGATGAGATCATTAGGGAATGCAATAGCATGTCAGGACAGCTTGATGTTTTGAAATTGCTAGATGATGCACATAACTTAGTGATCACCCTTCATGATAAAATACAGACATGATTCTGATAAAATAAACAGGACTCTCTGGTGAAGCAGGTTTGCAAAGAGAAGGCAGTGGCATGTAACTGTTAGAAAATGTTGAGTTATTATCTACAACAACTGAATGTTTTTTCCCCCTTCTCTAAAACAGTGTATTTTCCAGTTTAGCTCTCCTAATTTTCATGTCATTCATTTGTCCTTATGAATCAGCCATGGCTTAACTAGAATGCTAGTTTCTATAAGGGTAGCTAAAGATACGAATTTCTAAAAGCTGGTTTATCATTTTGTTTTATGACAAGAGCTATGTTATTAGTTATAGCAAGGTTGTGTACAAAACACAAGCATTTACACATCGTAGTTTTGCTAAGAAAGGAGAATCAGTTTTAGGTGTCTGCTGTATTTGGTTGAATTTAGGAGTGTCCGTGGTTCATGAAGTGTATTGTAACGCCGAATCATATTTATGTTGATTCAGTTTCCAATAATCATTTCAATAAAAATTCAGTTAACTGTTTAACTGTTAAAATGATTACAATTTAATTAAAAATTAGTTTAGAACTAGTTTATATTTATAAACTAGTTTAATCAGTTTACAATTTTAAATCAATTATATATTTAAAACTCTATTAAAACCAAATTTTTTAACTTCATAAAAATTTAAACTTCTTTATATTAAAAATAATATTCTTCAAAATATTTATTTTCAATTTTTTTTTTCATATTTTGTATTTTTTTTAAAAATGCTTTCTCGTTTTTTTGAAAAAAACTTAATTTTTACATATTTTTAAAAAAGAACTTATTTTTTTAGATTTCCAAAAAAAACATCAATTTTTTGTATTTTTGAAAAAATATTAAATTTTCGTGTTTCTAAAAATTTGATTTTTTGAAAAAAAATCAATTTTCTTTTTGTATTTTCAAAAAAACTCGAAAATTTTTTTTTAAAAAAAATCAATATTAAATTTTTCTTTTCATATTTTCGAAAAAACTCAACTTTTTTATTTTTCTGAAAATCTCGACTTTTTCATTTCTCTGAAAAACTTGACTTTTTTATATTTTCGAAAAAACTCAACCTTTTCATATTTATGTAAAACTCAACTTTTTCATATTTCTGAAAAAAGTTGACTTTTTTATATTTTTGAAAAAACTCGACTTTTTTTATATTTCTGGAAAAATTCAACTTTTTCATATTTTTGAAAAATCTCGACTTTTTCATATTTTCGAAAAATTCAACTTTTTCATATTTTTGAAAAAAAAAACTCAATTTTTTCATATTTATGAGAAAATTCGACATTTTCATATTTCTGGAAAAAAACTTGATTTTTTCATATTTCCGGAAAAAACTCGATGTTTTCACTTTTAAGAAAAAAACTCAACTTTTTCATATTTTCGAAAAAACTCGACTTTTTCATATTTACGAAAAAACTCGACTTTTTCATATTTTTGAAAGAACTCAACTTTTTCATATTTTTGAAAGAACTAGATTTTTTGTATTTCTGAAAAAACTAGTTTTTATTTTCGTATTTTTGAAAAAAAATCGATTTATTGTATTTCCGAAAAAAATTGATATTTCGCATTTTCGAGAAAAACGATTTTTCGGACAAAATTTGATATTAGTTTTTTCTAGAAAATAAAAAATATTTTTTCTTGAACTTTTTTTTAAATTTTCAAAATCTTTTTTCTACTTTCCGTTAATTTTTTATTCTTTTTATTAAAAATTATATAATTTATATAATTTAACTTGTTTATAAAAGAAAATTGGTTCTGAAGTGATTTTAAACTGAATTTGAATTGTTTTAATTAAATTATTCAATTTATTAATATTTAAATGATTCAATTTTTTTCATAGTGTACTACAGTTCAATTTAAATATACAATTCAGTTAATTATATTTTTAAATACTCCTAGTTAAAATCATGGGTTTTATGGACAAATTTAGACGCCCTCACATTTTATTGGCTAATAATAATGAAGAATTAGTTTCAAATACCTCATATTTTTCTTCATATTAAATTTGCCATTTATCTTTATAAATATTTATAATCTGACCCAAAAATCATTTTTAGTTCACATCTATTACAGTTGTGCAATGTCTTACCACCTGAGAATTTTAATTAGACTTGACAAAGTGGTTATAAATTTAAAATGAGTAATTATTATGGATTAGATTTTGTAATGCTTAACTGCTCATTATAATATAATTTGGATATCATGAAGAATTGAAGATGTAACTTATGTTTTTGGACAGTCAAGTAAGTCTTTTTAAACATATATAGATGTAATTCATAATTCATAATGGTATTGCTATATTTACTTTGGAGTTTGATCTTTGACATTGGTGTTTTCGGGAGAAGGATGTCTATTATGCTGCTTATGGTGTTAAGTGGTAGATATTTTTCTATTAGATTAGATTTGATCAAGTGTAGCTGGACTCTCTCAAATGTGATAATTTTTTTTGACAACTCTTTTGAAATAAGACCCTCAAAAGTTATAGTTTTTTCTGGACAACTCTTTTAAGATAAGTTATCATCTAAGAGAATTAAAAGGTTTGATGTAGTTGGACTCTCTCAAAAGTGATAATTTTTTCTTGACAACTCTTTTAACATAAGACAATCAAAAGTTATAGCTTTATCTTCACCACTCTTTTAAGATAAGTTTTCATCTAAGAGAATTGAAAAACTAATTATCCTTGACTCGGCTAATGTTTCTTGTGGGTTGTGTGACGTGTTCTCTAGAATCTGTCTCTTATTTATTTACTCCATCCGTTTTTTTTAAATGTCACTTTGAAAAAAAAATTATTTCTTTTCAAGTGTCATTTTAAAATCTAAAGTTATTTTGATTGTACTTTTGTCAAAATTATTCCTAGTCATTTATTACAATGAGAAAAAAGTTAAATAAATTTGGATTAAATAAATTTTTGGTCCTCATAAATATAACACTTTTCATTTTTAATCCCTTTTAAAATTTTCCGTCCATACAATAAGTCCTTAATGTCAAATGTCACTATCAGGTGCTTAAGTGGCAAGACAAGTGGATTAATTTTTTTTTTACTTTCATGAATGATAGCGTGTAAAATGCCACAATTTAAAGCTGATTCATTTTCATTTTGACCTAAATTAGTTGTTTATATGCTTCGTTCCTCATTGCCTGATTCTTTTTCACCTCAACTTCGCTTTTTTCTTCATCTTCGTTCATCCTGGTCTGCTTCATTCCTAAAAGCTTCATTCACTTTCAGCCAAGTTTCTTCGTTTTTCTTCCAGTTTGTTCATATTATCTAATCTAATGTCGTCTGTTTCTGTTAAATCGCGCGTTGTGAAGTTTTGCGGGTGTAAGGTTCGTATGCTTTCGTACCAATGCAAGAATGGATCGAATAAAGGAAAGTTGTTTTGAAGATGTCCTTATTGGAGGAGTGCTGATACGTGTAATTTTTTCATATGGGATGAAGAAATTAGAGCAAAATTTGAAAATGAAGATGGAAGCATTGTGAACTCAGAGGTAGAAGTTATGGCATCTATGAAGACCTTGTACGAAGAATCAAGGAAGAAGAACAAAATTTTGAAGACCAAATTGAAAACAAAGAAATTTCATGGAAACTTGAAGATGTTGTGTTTTGCAACGTCTTTTATGATTAATGTGTATTTGGTTTTGAAATGTAGTTGTTGGATTTGTTGTGTTTTGATTGAATTTGCAATGTCAATGAATAGCTTGCAATGTATTGAACTGATTAATGTGCACTTTGAGTTTGTTTTGTTAAGAAATGTGATGTATTTTTGGTTTGTATTGTTAATGAAAGGTGTTGAAATAGTTTGTATTGTTGATAAGTATAACCATTTTGCACAATTTGACATAAATTGGTTGTAACTTGACTGCACTCTGCACATAATGTCAATTACCATACCTTATTTCATAATACAAAACATTGATGACAATAATTGACAAGATTGGTGTTCCAAACTACAACTTTCATAACATAAATAGTTCATAAGGTTCATAGTACATACGATTGATGTTCCAAACAAAATAGTACATAAGTTTCATATTACATAAAACCGACGCCCTAATCAAAATAGTACTTAAGTTTCATATTACATAAGTTCCAAAAAAGAACATATTTCATAGCATAAATTCACTGAGTCAAGCTCTTCTGGATGTCATTCCAAATCTTCTTCCCCCTATAACTGAAAACACTTGTGTCTTCCTCAGGAATCACAAATGGATCCTCTGCATCCCTCCCAAGTCCCACAATGTCACGTGTTTTCAGAGTCATAAGTCTATCACTCTTTATTTTTTGAAGTTCAACATGCTTGGCCTTTTTCCTTGGTGATATCATTATTTTCACCTGTTATGACAGCATAATGTTACCAAGCTAATAAACATAAAAGACCAAACAAGTTTAGTTGGTATAAGTTGGTAACTTATAGGATCACTTGATGCTTGACCTTTTTCCTTGTTGGTATCACTTGACATTGGTTTTATAGTAGATTTGGAAAATTTTGGACTTGGACCAATGAAAGTTCTGACAGTAGCCCTAGACACTTTTGGTTTTGCACCAATGAAAGTCCTGACAGTAGTAGTATCAAAGCTAGTTGGATCAACATTAACAGGTTATTTTGCAGAAACACGTGGTTTTGCAGAACTAGTATCAACATTAAGTGGTTCAATGTCTAGTATGTCCTCATCTAGTATTAAGTATGTGATCACAAGACAATTAGAAAAAAATACATTATTAAGTATGTGATCTATCAAAATACATTCTTCCATGTCCTTCTTCATTAGTAATTTACCAGTAAATATAAAATTATTTTGGAATTTCCATGTAGTCCATACTACTGAATGTCAAATCATAATAATCTCCCTAATCTTAGTCACACCCCTTAAGTAGGAAGAAACTCCAAAGAACGAGATAATATCACCACGACAAGATAATAAACCTTTTTCAACAATTCTATACCACAAGTTTTTCACCACTCCAAAAGTAATACTCCATTTGTTCCTCTTTTAATGTCATTTTTTTTTACTTTTTACAC